CGGCATCCCTCGGTCGCAGAAGCCCTCCCCGCTCTCTCCCACCTGCACCCTCTGCGTGCGTTGGGTCTCCTGCCGGTGCTCAACAGGAGCTGCGGATTCCCTGTACTGTATTCACTGTACACTCGTGAAACGATCGTTCGGCAAAATACAAATTTCATCGTGACATCGCAGATTCTATGCTCCATCTCTCTTGTGCCGACTATAAAACCACGTTAAAACTCACTTAATATCGTGATGACCAGACATTTTAGCAGTAGTAACCGATATCTAACGGCTGTGCCAGACTCTGGTCAGTTGCCGACCGGAGCGCACTATTCTGATAGGGGTCTAGTATGGTTTCTGCCAATGAACACGCGATGGAAACTTTCATACAAGGAAGTTTCAAACATGTGAATTGGTTCCTGAGGTAGGCAACCCATCATGCATTACTAGTCGGCGGGTACACGACGTCTCTATAACTGCTTCAGAGTGACCTGTAAAACACAATGCATTATGGGAATGCCTAACAATCAGGAGCAAATTCCAGGATGTCGAACCTTTTATGGCAAGAGCCATGCGAATGATCCTTAGTTATCTGGGTTCCGACCGCGTCAAGTGCTGCACCCTAATAGCCAAGATCGTTCAAAAGTCACCTGTGTAACTTTGTTACATGAAATTTCTCACAACCGGTTGAATGGCAAAATGTTATCATAGACCCCACTTCATGTCCTAGAGATTTGTAACGTTTGTTCTGGCGCCTGTGCATTTTTACATAATAGATGTACGTTATTTTAGCAAGATTGAAATTTTCTGTAATCATTTTTAATCTAAGAAATAATACATCTCCCTCGTTTTGACAATGTATTATCTCGTGCAATGTGACATGAAAATAAATTAAAACAAAAATATCGACTTTAATGAAATGACATTTTCAGATATCGCGCACACACACATACTGTAGATTTCTTCAATACTTCGAACTTGCAAATACTATAGTATTTGTATATTACACAAATTATTAATTTTGAAAGTTCATGCAGTAGCATTTCTACAGATGTTCGGCATTCTTCGACCACCCCGCATCCAGTAAACTCGCTTGTGTCAGCGCGGGCTTGGGAGATAACGAAACTCCTCAAATCCACGCTCAGTCCTTCCTCCGTAGAAATCCTTCCTGCTTTTCTCGATGGATAAACAACAACATTCCTCTTTCGTTTTCTAAGTTGCCTGTTCATTAGCTCCCGAGCCCGTCGCAACTTTCAATTGTCTTGTCCCTCCATTCAACTGCTGAGTAACTTGGGAACAGCTCATTCTTCGTATACCTGAGCAAGTTCATTTGTTTCAAGTTTCAAGCTGTGCAACCTACCCTTTCATAGTACACTGTTCTCACAAAGCTTCTTTCCAATGTTATTGAGTTTTTATAGAATTGACTTGAATTATAAGATAGAACTTGAAATCTATAATCAGAAATAATTGTCCAGTAATTTTGTTTTGAACTAACTCATTACATTTTAAATTAAAAGAGAAAATGGATACAATAAATGTCTACCACGTCAAAATTATGACATTTCTAATACTTGTTTACTCAAGCAAATTATATATATATATATATATATATATATATATATATATATATACTGTCTCCCCATATTGACTGTCTCGACAGCCCTATAGGAGGTCTTGGCCGACCCGCAATGGCCTAGTCTGGGCGCCATGGGGGCCATGACGGGTTCGGGTGGTTACCAGACATCCCTTCACCATCTATACTGGTCTTCACTACCTTAGGGTGGGGTTTCTCATCGTCACACAGCAATAGACACTGAGGCATGTGGAAGGAAAGCGCACAGTTATAATTTTCGCCCCGGCTGGGAATCGAACCCGGGATTGCGCCGTGAAAAGCGAGCACGCTAACCAACGAGCCACACGAGGGCATATAAAATAGACTATTTTTTTATTACTACGTAGTTTTCCTGACAGAAATGTAATAATATTTTACGCACTTTCGGCATGTAGTCTTTGGAGTGTGAACATCAGGGGCATATGAACTTTCTATTCAGTGCGAGGGACACGCTGTAGAAACATGACAAACGTAAACATTTATACACAGAAGTGAAAACATGCATACTATCGCTAGTTCCTCCCCTTTTTGTTTTAATTGCGTGCTGTAGCTGATAAGTGCTATAACTACCTCACATGTTATTATCCACGTTACACACATTATCCACTAGTGTTACAAAAGGCTTTTATAAAGCATAAAAACAATCCTGTTAGTTCGGAATATGATAAACATGACTTCAAATTTCGGAGGAAATGACGAGACCAAAAAACACAGTTCCTGGGTTTAATACCTGTCTAGCATTTGGCGTCACCACATCACCTCCTGTGATACTCTTGCCTCTCTACTTTTCGAATCGCCCTGATTGTTTCGTTGCTCAAACACGCACTACGTGACGGTAACTTCTCCAGTTGCTCCCTCACCAGGAGCCGTTTCTGTTCTACGCTCCCGTTTGCCCTGCCAAGTACCAGCCTCTGGGAAGCTCTGCTGCCATTAGTTTTCCCTTTACAAATTTTCCGCCTCCTTAGCCCGAGGCGAGGCGCGGTGGGCCGGGGCAGGTTCTCCCTGAAATTCCCGGAACTCTGTAATTCCCTTCCTTGCGAATCCCCATCGCCCGATCGCTCCTCGCTTGATTGCCTTTCTTCGCCCCCTCTTCGCCCTCCCGGCTGCCCCGCCCTGTAATTTCCTCCCTCGTTATTGGCTGAGCCGCATCTTACTCTATATTTTCCCCTGCATTTCTCTGCTGCTCCATCGGCTGGCTCATCGTTTATCTACCCTTCCTCCCCCTCCTCGGATGCATGCCTTATCTGCTGTCGTTTCCTGGACTCGGTTAATTGGCTCGATGTAGCAATGTAACTGAAC